TTATGAAATGTACGAAACTTATTGTAAAGCTTGATAGGAATAGAAGAAAAGTTTGTATGCAGAGAATGTTAAAAAATTTGAGGTTGGATTGTAGAATTTTAAATATTTATATTTGCAAGGAAAAATCTACAAAAATCTATACTATATATAAAAACAAAATCCTGCAATTTTAACTTCCCGCCCAATTCCTAAAAAATCTCTCTTCTAATAAAATATATTGATTTCTACTTTCCTACAATAATTCTGGGTTAAAATTCTTTTCTAATATCATAAAATACGGTAATACAATTCCTATTGTAATCTATCTATCTATCTATACATCTATACTCTATACTATACATAAAAACAAAATCCTGCAATTTTAACTCCCCGCCCAATTCCTAAAAAATCTCTCTTCCTAATAAAATATATTAATTTCTACTTTCCGATTCGTACAACAATTCTGGGTTAAAATTATTTTCTAATATCATAAAATACTGTAATATAATTCCTATGGTAATTTATCTATCTATCTATACATCTATACTCTATACTATACATAAAAACAAAATCCTGCAATTTTAACTTCTCGCCCAATTCCTAAAAAATCTCTCTTCCTAATAAAATATATTGATTTCTACTTTCCTATTCGTACAATAATTCTGGGTTAAAATTCATTTCTAATATCATAAAATACTGTAATATAATTCCTATTGTAATCTATCTATCTATACATCTATACTATCTATACTATATATATAAAAACAAAATCCTGCAATTTTAACTTCCCGCCCAATTCCTAAAAAATCTCTCTTCCTAATAAAATATATTGATTTCTACTTTTCTATTCGTACAATAATTCTGGGTTAAAATTCTTTTCTAATATCATAAAATACTGTAATACAATTCCTATTGTAATCTATCTATCAATCTATACATCTATACTATATATAAAAACAAAATCCTGCCATTTTAACTTACCTCCCAATTCCTAAAAAATCTCTCTTCCTAATAAAATATATTGATTTCTACTTTCCTATTCGTACAATAATTCTGGGTTAAAATTCTTTTCTAATATCATAAAATACTGTAATACAATTTCTATTGTAATATATCTATCTATCTATACATCTATACTATATATAAAAACAAAATCCTACAATTTTAACTTCTCGCCCAATTCCTAAAAAATCTCTCTTCCTAATAAAATATATTGATTTCTACTTTCTTATTCGTACAATAATTCTGGGTTAAAATTCTTTTCTAATATCATAAAATACGGTAATACAATTCCTATTGTAATCTATCTATCTATATCTATACATCTATACTATATATAAAAATAATATCTTGCAATTTTAACTTCCCGTCCAATTCCTAAAAAATCTCTCTTCCTAATAAAATATATTGATTTCTACTTTCCTATTCGTACAATAATTCCGGGTTAAAATTCTTTTCTAATATCATAAAATACTATAATATAATTCATATTGTAATCTATCTATCTATCTATACATCTATACTATATATAAAAACAAAATCCTTCAATTTTAAGTTCCCGCCCAATTCCTAAAAAATCTCTCTTCCTAATAAAATATATTGATTTCTACTTTCCTATTAGTACAATAATTCTGGGTTAAAATTCTTTTCTAATATCATAAAATACTGTAATACAATTCCTATTGTAATCTATCTATCTATCTATACATCTATACTATATATATATATAAAAAAAATCCTGCAATTTTAACTTCCAGCCCAATTCCTAAAAAATATATCTTTCTAATAAAATATATTGATTTCTACTTTCCTATTCGTACAATAATTCTGGGTTAAAAAACAAAATCAAAACAAAAACAACACATATAAATTTTGGGTTAATATTTCCCAAACCCCCCTAATAATTAATAATAATTTTTTTTATCGCGGCTAGGAAGTCCGGAATCGGCCTCCTCTGTGGCTTCTTCGCTGGCTGAATCGGCGATTAATTTTTTTTTTAATTTTTTTTATAGGTTGTAAAGTGTCAAAAGTTCGGCAAGGCATAACTTTTGACTCGGTTGTCCGTTTTGGATAAATATTTTTTTGAAATCGCGTTTTTTTCGAGATCTATCCACCGCAAACTGCCGTAGGCGGTTTGGCCCACTAATTTCTGAAAAAAATGCTTTATTAAATAGTTTCTAAGAAAAAACTATGAGAACCTTATATTTTATTAATGAATTTTTAAAATTTTTAATTAAAAAATGTCATGTGTCTTATTTAATAATCTTTCTTTATAATTGGTTAAATTATTTAATTATGAAAAATTAGAAAATAATTAATGATGATAATAGAAATCCTAGAAGAATATTGAATTGAAGAATATTTAATTATTGTTATATTATTATTGTGACTCACGGAATACAATACAAGAATATTTAATTATGGTTATATTATTATTGTGCATCACAGCCATTATACACTAACAGAACTTGAAAAGAAACTAATAATAATAATATAAAAATAATAATATAAGTGGTAATAATAATATCTAAATATAATTAAGTGTTAATAATAATAGTAAGAATACTAACATAGGAATTATGATATAGAATAAATCGTAATAATTAGAGTAAAAGACATTTTTAGTCCTAAATTTATAGTGACTTGGACAATTTTAGTCCTTTATAAAAAAATTTGCCATTTTATGGACAGAGTTATTGTGGAGAGGACATTTTTGGTCCTCCGTCTATATTTATGTTAGATAATCGCCTGAGAGAGGGGTAATTACGTCAATTTAGGCTATCTCCTTCTATCTATTATATCTATGTGTGTTTTGTTTTCTTCTCGGTCATAATTCGAAGGAGTCGGAGAGTCCAAGTTGCAGTTGTACGAAGAAATTGCCGGAGAATTGAAGCCGCCAAACAGGTTACTAATCAAATAGATAGAAGGAGAATCGAAGCCGCCAAACACACATTGATATAATAGATAGAAGGAGATAGCCTAAATTGACGTAATTGCCCCTCTCTCATACGGTTATCTAACAGAAATATTGACGGAGGACCAAAAATGTCCTCGAAATATAGATGGAGGACCAAAAATGTCCTCGCCACAATAACTCTGTCCATAAAATGGCAAATTTTTTTATAAAGGACTAAAATTGTCCAAGCCACTATAAGTCTAGGACCAAAAATGTCTTTTACTCTAATAATTAATAACTATAGTCTAGGATTAAATTTGAAATTTTCAGGAGATAAGCGACCTCTGGTGAAATTAACTCTTAAATAATTATATATCGATTTAAATATTATTAATATATTACAACAATTCAATTACGTGCATCGCACGGGTGAAAGTAATAGTTCTAAGTAAAAAATGAAAATAAACAAAAATGAAATAAATAAAAGAGTTTTTCCGAAAATGGTCCCTCGACTATTTCTTAATGTATATTAGGCGTACGATAGGTAAACGGACGAAATGACCTCCATTTTAACATTGATTAGACAGAAAATGTAACGGAGGACTGAATTGGGTGAGTTTTTGAAAGTCGATGGACCACATTTTGTGCAATTAAAAGTCAAAATAGAAAATTGAGAATGAGCAATAGTCCAGGGCCCATTTTGGAAAAAACTCCTTTAGGTGCCTAAGTTTAAAGTTGGTGCTTAAGTTTAAAGGTTAAGGTGCGTAACTTTATAGATTAAGGTGCATATGTTTAAAGCTTACGGTGCGTTACTTTCTAGTTTAAGGTGCATCGGTTTAATTCTTAAGGTGCATCAGTTTAACTCTTAAGGTGTGTATGTTTAAAACTTATGGTTCATTATTTTCTAGTTTAAGGTGCATCAGTTCGAGACACTTGATCCTTTGCATGCATGTAACCAGGAAGCATGTTTTTTATTTATTTATATATATTCCTTCAGTTTTAGCCGTTGATCTAGATTAGATCAACGGCTAAAATCACCCCATTTTCCACCTGGGAGAGCCTTCACACGTGAACCATCGCACGCGCGCACACACACACACACACACACACACACATATATATATATATATATATATATATATATATATATATATATATATATATATATAATTAAGTTCCAGTGCGGGTTAGTGCTTCCCATGCGGTTGTGCGGGTGATTAATGTGCGCGAGTTTTGTACTTAATGTGCGTGAGTCTTGTGCTTAATGTGCCTGAGTTTTGAGCTTAATGTGCGTGAATGTGTAATGTTTAATGTGCGTGAGTTTTGTCCTTAATACGCGATCCTTGTACATGAGTTGCGGATGTTCTAAATTATACAAGGGTTGCAGATTAGCAGTTGTGTATTAATCTTAATTTTAAGAATAATTGGATTCCTTTGATTTGTATAAAAAGTCATAAGGTAGAAGGCATAAAATGATAAAAAGCTTTCCCCTAAAATATTTTCACTATTACGCTTTATGCTAAAATTGATTTTTAAAATAAAACATTTATGGACGTTCATTATAAAATATTATTGACTTTATATCTTTTACTGACAAAAAATTATATTTCATCAACAAATATTACAAAAAATTTTATTGTCTCTAACAATATATATAGTGGCGTTATTTAATATAACGTCACAAATTGTTATATGGAAAAATTATAATTTATGCCCTCACCAATATGTCAATTATCAATGCCATCCCTGATATATTAGTGGTCTAAATGTTGTCACTCAATTTTCAAAACGTTACATATATTGCATGTTACATATACACTGCTGGAAAAATGACATTTTCCGTCCACTTTCCGACTATCGAAAAAAGTGGATGGCAAATTAATTTTTTTCTTAAATTTTTGACCACCTGATTGGATGGTCAGAATTTGGACGGTATTACCGACTACTCTCAAATGGTTGTCGGAAATGCAGCCCACTAAAAATATGGTTGAAAAATGTTACATGACCGTTGTTTTTTAACTGGTAGACTTTGACGAGTTTCCGACCACTTTCGACCACTTTAGTGGTCGGAAGTCAAAATATATACGGAGTATATTCTTTAATTTCCACATCTTACCTTAGATATAACAATCTTTCTACCCTTCAACTCTTTCCTATCCTCAAATTTTCTACCCTCAAATTACCGGAAGTTATCAACGTAGGAATCACCATCTCCACCTTGGATCTGTGGATCTCCCCATAAAGTTTCATCTTTGCTCTGCATCTACCCATTTCAAAATTATTTTTTGAGATGAATCTGCTTTCTAGGTGAATCCCCTCCCTCTGCTGCCTCAGTGCCTCAGTGCATTCTAATCGTCGGCTAAAGGTGAGTGTTCAGTCTCAATAGCATCACATTCTAGGTGAATCCCTGCCCTCTTCTGCTCCTGTGTTGTTTTGCTCAGGTTCTATCCCTGAGAGGGCAGTTTAAGAATCATTCTAAGATTGTGTATTTATGAAGATTAGAACTTCTTCTGCTTTTCCCTCTTTCCATTTCTTCTTTTTTGATTCTTCAGATGCATCCTTGAGAGGGCATTTTTAGATTAATTGCAGAAGTTGTGTTTATCCTTCCTAGTCTGCTTATATTCAAGTGATGAAATTTCTGAACTGATTTTTCCAAACCTGGGAATTTTTCATAGTTTCAATATATATTTGAATCATATACAGTTTCCTTTTTGAAATGTTTATCAACAAGTAGCATTATTTTAATGTTATACCATGATAGATACACTGACCATTCATGGCAGCAACCCCAATTTTGGGTTAATTGAATAATTTAGAAAAATTTGTATAAATCTTGTTGGATGACATCAACCTTACAGAGAAGTAAAGATTTGTATATATCTTGTTGAAACCCCAGTGGGCTAAGTGATGACAGCAACCCCAATCTTGTCCTTTCATATTTATTCGAGGGACTTCTGGTTTGAATGGTTGAGGATGAGGGATGGTTGGGGGGTTATGCCTTTTGTAAGACAAGCTTCTAGTTGTCCCTATGGTGATGTAAAGTCAGGGAAATTATGGCTGTGTACTCATCTAGTTGGTAAAATTTTATCTATATCCATAAAGATTTGAACCTTTTTTTCCCTTAATAATTCATTCTTGCTTAAAGAAAATTCAGCATATTTTTCTTGTTCTTCTACAGATTTAGATTTCTTTTTCTTGCTCTTCTTTGTGGATGCTTGGCTGGGTGCTGTATCCAAATCCATATCTGCATCTCCAGTAGAGGTAAGGATTTCTTTTGATGTTTTAGGGTAGCCTTTTTTTAGTTAGGGGACCCAAATTGCACTATTTACTTGACTAAGGAGACAAATTTGACACTTCTACTAATTTCTATGGTTATCCCCATATTAAAACAATAGAGCGTGCATCTAAGGACGAATGAGAATTAAACTTGTGACCTCTTACCTAGAGTCACTGGATGAGGCCATTATGATAAATATGACAGGGAAAATTAGTGTAAAACATAAAACTTGGGCTAGTTTACAAGTGCTGGATGCAAATGCCAGGGACAAAAAATGTAACAGCATGCAAGAGTATATTGGTTAGTAAACTTAAGACATAAGATGGCTTAGTTTAGTGTAGAACTAAAAAGTATGGAGTAAAAGTGGATTTAATTATCACAGCAACAACTTCTAAACAAAGTTATAGAATACCTGCTCATATTAGTTTTAATATTAAAATAGCAACATATGAAATAGTGTGAACATTTAGAAATAATAAAGTTTTATATATACAATTGAAAATTTTATTTAGTATGATTTTATTATTAATACAATTTGAGAATATAAAATTTTTCAAATTTTAAAATATTATAAAGTTAATGTTTATTATTTTCTATCTATTGTTTCAATTTGATACCAAATTGAAAATAGTTGTTTTATATGACTAATATACCGGAACATCGCAAATGGATGTACAACCGATTGATGCCAAAAAAGAGGGGATACACTGATGAGTTCTTAACAGGTGTTGATGAATTTATTAATTATGCAAGTACACTTTTCGTATTTGAGTTGTCGAATCAAATTAGATGCCCATGTAGTAAGTGTAAAAATAGAGTACACTTATCAGCAAATGAAGTTCGCGTCCATTTATACAAGAATGGTTTTGAACCGGATTATTGGGTTTGGACATGTCATGGTGAGTCTGTCCCCTTAGTAAATGAACAGGTAAATGAAGGGCATGGTGAAACCAATCGATATGAAGCAATGGTCTCCAATATGTGTGGTCCATCATTTATTCCATTTACTACGGAAAATGAACATGATGAAGAGCCACATACTAGTGCAAAGAACTTCTACGATTTGTTAAATGCAGCCAAACAACCTTTGTCATCGAGCTGTGTTGAAGAAACAGAATTGTATATATACTCATGATGATGAATATCAAGACAACGTTTAACATACCACAACAAGCAATGGATCAGATATTTGAGTATAATAACCGTATCATGGGCCCTGACAATCGAGTTCCCTCTAGGTATTACGATTCAAAGAAATTGCTTACAAAACTTGGTCTCGGTTATGAGAAGATTGATTGTTGTGTGAACAGTTGTATGTTGTACTATAAGTCCAATATCAATGACAAACACTGTAAGTTCTGTGGGGAGCCTAGGTTTAAACCACAACCATCTGGAAAAGAAGTGCCACAAAAAAGGATGCATTACTTGCCTCTCATCCCTAGATTGCAGCGTTTGTATGCTTCACCCAGTTCTGCTTCACACATGCGATGGCATTATGAAAATCGTCGCGAGAATGGTATTATGTGTCATCCTTCAGATGGTGAAGCATGGAAACACTTTGATAGTAAATACCCTGATTTCGCATCAGAACCTCGAAATGTCAGACTGGGTTTGTGTTCTGATGGGTTTTCTCCTTTTGGTTCTAATGCAAAACCATATTCTTGTTGGCCAGTTATGGTTGTTCCGTATAATCTTCCACCTTCAATGTGCATGACTACACCATACATATTTTTAACATGTATTATCCCTGGGAAGCATAACCCGAAAACAAACATTGATGTGTACTTGCAGCCTTTAATTTATGAGTTTCAATTGTTATGGGAAACAGGTGTGTTAACTTATGACGTGTCACTCAAACAGAATTTTATGATGCGTGCTGCATTGATGTGGACCATTAATGATTTCCCTGCATATGGTATGTTATCTGGATGGCAAACATCAGGGAAACTAGCTTGTCCATATTGTCTTCACCACTTTAAGTCCTTTTATTTGAAGAATGGTCATAAAACATGTTGGTTTGATTGTCATCGCCAATTTCTTCCTATGAGTTACTCATGGAGGAAAAATCAAGATGATTTTGTAAAACGACGGGTAGAAAAATCAAGACCGCCACAAATTTTGACAGGTGATGAGTTGTTTAATAGTGTGAAAAAAATTCCAAAGATTACCGATGGCCCAATTGGTCGCATTGATGGGTTTGGACAGTCACACAATTGGAAGAAAAAAAGTATATTTTGGGATTTGTCTTATTGGAAGGATAACTTGCTCCGTTACAATCTAGACGTGATGCATATAGAGAAGAATGTTTTTGACAATATATTTCATACAATTATGGATGTCAAAAGCACACCAAAAAATAAAGACGCATCCACTGCACGGCTAGATATGAAAGATGTGTGTAATAGGTCACTGATGGGGAATATACACCGGTCATACAGAGCGCCGTACCAACCCGACCGTATGTCCCGGTCAAGTACGACCAGCAAGCCTTGCCCGGTCGCCCGGTCGTCCTCTTAGCAAGGGCGCCCCCAAAGGACCCTGGGGCGGGTGACCGGGGACCGGGACGTACGATCGGCTGGATGGGAGCCCTGTCAGTAGCAGAGGCTTCGCGCCACGTGTACGGTTGCCTGCTGGCCGCCTCTCCACCCGGTGCATGCGCGCCACGCGTCCGACATGCCGGAAGACCGGACGCGGTTCCCCATGGCTCTTATAAATACTGCATTAAATGCTAGTGAGAAGGACTTTTGGAGATTTCCACAAGCTAGGCTAGAGAGGTTCCCGGTCATCATTTACGATCGGTCTTCTCCTAACCCACTGTATTCGACCTTACATCAATCTACTTTTTATATACGCTTTATTTATCCACATCATTTGGCGCCGTCTGTGGGGACCAGTACGAAAACAGTACGTCTTTACCGATCCTCACTAAATGTATCCCTTCATGGACTTCTTCAACGCCGGCGAAGACGCCGATGGCGCTCAACCAGACCTACGAGCACACCTTAACACCCGGATGGACCTCAACCAACCACCTGAAGGAGCGTTCTAGCCGCCAGAACCGGCAAGCGTAGGGCCGGCGGAAGCCGTTTATAGGGATATACCGATCCAGGCCGCCTATCCGGCCCCGGGCGCCGTCCCGGGATTCCTGGATCCAACATATCAATGGTGGGCCAACGCCCCGCGTTTCTACCCCCAGGTGTACCCGCAGCAGCCGATGCCGGGGATATACCCACATCCCATGTATAGCCCGGTGCACAACTACCGGGTCGCCCCGTCCGTCTTCGGCCCGGGGGCGAGCGATCACGACGGGGGCGGGATGCCGCCGCCACAAGGGCCATGGAACCCCCAACCTGAAGCACCTCAGCCTCAACGCAGACCAGCCCACACCCGCTTGGGGTCGGTCGACCACTCGGAAGGCCACGTGCCCCGGACTAGCGCGTTCGACAGGCTGCAGCCCACAAATTCCCCCCGGCGAGCTCGACCAGCAGGCAGACGGCCGTCGCTAGACCGATCAGCATCCAGTCGGGGCGCGGATTCGGAAGAAGTAAGTTCCTCTAGGAGCAATCTCAGACGCGACAACCCGCCGAACATGGCGACCGGGGTCCCGCACGATATCATGGAGCAAGTCCGGCAAGAGTTCAACAGATGGAAACAGGAGCAGACCTCACAGGTCCCGACCCTGGACACCAAGCTGTTGAGGACCCCTTTCTCCAGCGACATCATGCGGCAGCCCTACCCAATAGACCTTCGGGTTCAGGGATCGAAGGACTACTCCGGGAAGACCGACCCGGAAGAGCATGTCAACTCCTTTTACGGTAACATGATCATGATGGGCGTATCGGACGCCGCGTTATCTGCCGAGCCTTCTTCTCAACACTCTCCGGACGGGCGGCTGAATGGTTCAAGTCCCTCGAGCCAGGGTCCATCACGTGCTTCGCTGAACTCTCCACCAAGTTCACCCGCCGCTTCGCAATGTCCCGGACGGTCCGGAAGCATTTCACGCACCTCAAAGCCGCCAAGCAGCTGGAAGGCGAGTCATTGGCCGACTTCCTGGTTAAATGGAAAAAAGCTATTGGAGAAGTGGAGCCCATGGACGATAGAACAGCTATCAACGTCCTACACTATTCCCTCCGAGCCGGGGCTCTATACCAGGACTTCATCGTCCACCCTCCGCAGTCTTACGATGAAGCGATCCGCCAGGTCACCGACCACGCCAATGCTATGGAGGCCAACTCCGCGAAACGGCGTCAAGAGTCGGGATCGGCCCGGCGCGACCATCGCCCGGAGCCCAAGCGTGGAGACCGACAGCAGGCCCCTTGGGACCTGTCCAAGCTCACCCGGCCCGTGACGGAGATCCTCGACTACGCCCAAGGCTGCAACCTGATCCAGTTGCCCGAGCCCGGACAAGACGGCCGGGACACCTCCAAGTTCTGCACGTACCACCGTAACCGGGGACATACGACGGACGAATGCCGAGTATTGAAAGAAGTGATCGAAGACCTCCTAAAAGAAGGAGAGTTGACCCAGTTCACAGAGAAGAAAGACAAAGGGAAACGATGGAAGAAGTTCTTCAAAAGGACCGGTCGTGATAAGAAGGACAAGGCTCAGGAACCCGACGACGACCACCGACCTACGGGTTCCAAGCAGGTGATTCATGTCATCTTCGGCGGACCTGAAGGGGGCGACAGCTCAGAAGACCGGCACAGGTGGTGCCACAGCCTACAGGTCGAACTATTAGAAGAAGCTCGACCGGAAAAACGCCCGAAGGCCGAACCTATCGCCTTCACCGACGAAGACCTCCCCCGAAACCCCGATCATGGGACTGAAGCCCTAATTGTCACGCTCGACGTTAGCGACGTGGACGTCGAGAGGGTAATGGTAGATACGGGCAATAGTGTGAACGTCCTGTACTTGGACGTCTTCAAGAAGCTGAAGTTGGATGAGAAGAGGCTAACCCCGGTCCGTACCCAGCTATCCGGTTTTA